ACTCTTATGCAATCTAGTGCAATTATATTCTCATACTCATATGCAATCTCGTGCAATTATATACTCATACTCATATGCAATCTCGTGCAACAATACTCATACTCATATGCAATCTAGTGCAATAATATACTCATACTCATATGCAATCTCGTGCAACAATATAATCATACTCTTATGCAATCTAGTGCAATTATATAATCATACTCTTATGCAATCTAGTGCAATAATATACTCATATGCAATCTCGTGCAACAATATAATCATACTCTTATGCAATCTAATGCAATTATATTCTCATACTCATATGCAATCTCGTGCAATTATATACTCATGCTCATATGCAATCTCGTGCAACAATACTTGTACTCATATGCAATCTAGTGCAATTGTAGATATATAAATACTCATACACTCTTTTATAAAATAGAGTACTTCGTGTGGATGTCTCTTTCTTACTTTCTTGAGTCTCTCTTGACTCTCTTTCTTTCTCTTGAGTCTCTTTATTTCTCTTGAGTCTCTGTTGACTCTCTTTCTTTATCTTGAGTCTCTTTTGACTCTATTTCTTGAGTCTCTATTGACTCTCTTCTTTCTCTTTACTCGTAGACGGCTTAGGGTTTCACCTAAGCGTGAATTACCCCATCGGGAACGGCATAAATCCGACCAAATATCTCCTACCGTCTACGGAACCGATCTCGTGGTTCAAACTCTGTGGAATTAGGTATCGAACTATTAGTGTGCACACCCCCTAACCACTATTCCAAGCCTGGCGGGCAGTTTTCAACCTCTTAACGTGGGAATACGCCGCGTTACATATACTGGGACCACAATGTCCATAAATATCTCCCGAGAGGACATAGTCCAAACGGTATCCTCCAAAACCTCACCAATATAGATAATACATAAATATATCTCTCATGCATGCAAACAACTCTACTACTTCTCAATGCATCAAAGAATGATGTACCACATGCTTATGGTTTTTGAAAGTATTCTTGGGCTCACGTTGGTCCCTTATGCATTTTTGAAATATGACACTTGCGAAATGCCAAAAGCTCTATAACATTCTTCTAAATCATGTATAAAATAACATGGAGTACTCAAGAATATAATATCATGTTTGGTTTGCAACATAGCAAATTCTATACATTCTATCAACAAAATATGCTTCATTTCTCATTGATCAAATATCACAACCTAATCGTGCTTTCATAATAAATCATATTCTCAAATGATCATGCTTCTTTACTCAATAAAAACATCATTAGATCACATAACCAAATATTTCTCATACACAGTGAACTAAGCAAATATACACTCTGTGTAGAAATTCTTCAATAAAATCTTCATATCACACTCGTTTTTAATCCAAATTCAACGAACTCAAAGCCAAAACGTGCGTCGAGACGATCTCGAAGAGCCGAGCCACAAGGGCCCATAACACTCGGTCCGAAACGAAACGTAGCTGAGCCACAAGGGCTCGGCCACTGCACAGATTCTTCTCAGAATCAAAGTCAGGGGCCTGGGGCGGGACTCCTCATGGTCCGCCCCTCACACCCCGTTACTTCACCGGGACTAGGCAACGGCCCTCCTCTAGGGCCGTGCCCTAGTCCCGTGCCACTATGGCTCTAGCCGGCGGCCCGCCTGATGGGCCGTGGCTAGGGCCGTCCATCTTATCTGGTGCACACTGTGTTGTGCACCAGATGGTTTTTTATCTGCAAAATCCAATCCAAAAAAGTCCAAAAAAATCTCAACAACTCACAAACAAATACTACAACACTTCTAAGCATGAACATATCAAAAACTCATAGTTTCTACTCATTTCTACTCAAAACTAAGGCTTCATAGAGCCAAATTTAAAGAGGAATCCATGGGGTTATACCTCTTGTAGTCTTTCTTCTAGCTTGGATCTCTTCTTCCTCTCTATCTAGCTTGAGCCTCCTTCACCACCTATACTTCCCAAACACACCATACACCCTTAGCCTAGAACCTCAAAGATTAAAGAAACTAGAAGAGAAATGAAGGCTAGGATTGAAGGATGAGATAAGCTTACTGTGATGTTGTTTTCTCCTCTTTTCTTAGCAGACAAATGGTGTGGAGAGGCAAAGAAAGAGATCAGGGAATCAAGATGGAATAATGTGATATATATAGGGTTCAAAATCATAGGTGGATCATCAATGATTGGTTGAGGGCAAATAAGTAATTTCACAAGCTAGAAGATGAATCAGGGAAAGGGATTTTGGATGTCTAGTGGTCCACCATGCAACATGAACCATAGGCTAGAAATGCTATTTAAAATACTTTGGGGTGGAAAATGAATTTCCTTAAAAAGCTATTTGGATGAACACTTGTTTAAAACCCTTTTGAATTCTCCCGGTCTCACTCAGATAAATTTCTCGATTTAAATCTTGGTACGCGAAGCACCCGAAAACTTAGGAATTTTCGAATAGAATCCATTTTTGGTGTAGAATTAATTTAAAATGTGAAGAAAATATTTTATTCAAACACCGATTGATCGCAAAAAATTTTAATGGAGTGAAAAAGGCTATTTTGGGATTTCTTAATTCTGGATTTATAAAATGAAATTTTGGGTTGTTGCACGAGTGGTCCATGAAGTTATACTCGGGAATGTGGAGGAACAACGACGAGTAGGCGATTCAGTCGGCTAAAGGGAGGATTTATCGACTAGAAAGAGGACTCGTACAAACATAGAAAATACGACCGAACCCAGAGGAGATTTGGGAATGGATCTTGTGGAAGGCAGCGCGAAACCCATAAGCTATTAGGAAAGAAGATCTATTGTATTTAGGGAAGGAGATCAATTGTATTTAGGAAAGAAGATCAGTTGTATTTATGGAAAGATAGAGTTGCATAGTTTAGGCCCCTTAATTCTTGTATAAATAGACCTTGAACACCTTGAAAAATGTTAAGTTTTTACATGCAACACAGAGTAATAGAGAATTGTTTTTCAGGCAGTCATTGTCTTCATTTTCTGATTGTGTTAGCCCGCCGTTTGACTACTTCGGTGGTCAATAAAACCAACATTGGCGTCGTCTGTGGGGGACGATACAAAATGTCGTGTCGTTCTACCAAACCAAGAGAAAATCCAAGCAAAACAATGGCAAGAATAAGGAGAATACAATGTCGGTCAGCCACCAGTAGCCAGAATCAGGCGTCGCAAGGATGGGGTTTGTGAGAACAACTCAGCCGCCCAAATTTTCATGAGCACGAACAAACCGTCAACACGCGTCCAAATGCACCGTTGACCAATGGGGAGCAAGTTGCCGACGCGTTACCGGCACCCCACTAGCGCTAGTTGTCCCCACCATCGCTAAGGTGATGAAGCAACTGCAAAAGCAGTCGTCTAGATCCAAAAAACCACGAGTAGAAGAGTAGAACAGTGAGAGATTTGACCAGACTCGACTCGATTGGCTCGAATCAGGACAGAACCCTAAAAGAATGGGTGCACCTCCTGTTTTTCGGCTAGTTGCACCTCAAGAGATTAGAGAAGTGAAGGAGGCCTTGCCTCTGCCGCCTGCCTTTCGGCCAGGTGAGCAACCCGAGATATTAGTTCAAGGGGGCGAGACAAACGAGTATTATCGGTTGCACCGATCAAACACTCACTTGACTGAGGAGTGTGTGTTCTTAAAGCAAGAGATCAAGGCAATAATCTAAAGGAACACACCAACCACCTCCAATCAGTGGCGTAAACACCTGTCGTGGCAGAGAGGAGATGTAGGCCGACCAAGTGACAATGGTCGAGATAAGGGGAAGTGTCTCGCTCTTGAGAAAGAAGAGGAGATCAATTGGAAGCATAAACCAATTATTAACATGATCGTGGGTGGGGCGGAAGCTGGGGACTCAGCCAATTCCATGAAAGCATGAGCCCGACAGTTATATGTTGGAGCAATTTATGGAAGGGAAAGCAGCCTGAAGAAGGTGCGCCGAGAGCCCATTACATTCATAGATGAAGACTTGCCAATGAGAGCCGGCTCCCACCGAGATGCACTCGTAGTAGCTATGGACGTGAACGGCACAGTCGTCCGACGAGTGCTAGTGGATAGAGGAAGCAGCGTGAACATACAATACCTGGAGGCCTTCAACAAGTTAGGATTGTCACGGGACATCCTCAAGCCAGTCAGGACCTCGCTGGATGGGTTTACAGGTTACTCCATCGAGTCTGAAGGGTCTATGAAACTACCGGTGGAGTTAGGCACCCACCCAATACCAGGAAGATGGAAATGGAGTTTATAGTAGTCAACCTTTCATGTTCCCACAACATGATCCTTAGAAGGCCGGGTTGGAAGACCCTGAAGCCCTGATCTCGCTGCAACATTTATGCATGAAGTTTAGAACCCCAAATGGAATCGAAGTCGTGCGATGTGACTAGCGAGCGGCCCGCGACTATTACTTGAAAGCGTGTCGAAAGATCAGGATAGAAGACATGCGAATCCACACCATATCCGGTTACACTAAGAAGGAGGAGAATGAAGTAGAACGACCAGAGCTGGCGATCATTCTCAACGGATGATAAATTTGAAGTGAATGATGTATGGGCGAACACAAGTGAGTGTAAACTTACAAGAAGCTAGATCCGAGTGTGTGCAAGCAACATTGTGTATAAAAGTAAAAAGTGCGCAAGAGAGCAAGTAATAAGCTAAATCACAGCCACTTAAAAGAAATCAGAAAGATGGAATGAGATTTGGATTAGTCTTTGCATTGGTGCCACGTGTTCTAGATAGGAAATACATAATGTGCTAATATGGATTCAAGGGAGATGTTTGCTATTGCCAATGCCCTTTCGATCTCCTTGACCTATCATGGAGTAGAATGTCACAAAAACTAATGATGTAATGTGATAAAATAAAAAACAAATTGACGATATATGACAATGTCACAAAAGTTAATGATTAAAAGTTAAAAAAATAAATAAATAAATTAATTAATCACGCGCATTGCTGCTGTAGCTCTATATAATACACCCTGCGTCCCTTTATAAATACCAAAATATCAAACCAAGATGCACATCTCCCTTCTACTCTCTTATTTGACTACTAGGCATCTGATGCGTGTATGTGAGGAGTGAAATAAAAAAATTATGAAGAAACTCTTCTTCTTCTTCTTCTTCTTGTGGTGTTTCATAGGTTTTGGTTCAGCCCTCCATAGCCATATTTCAGTGGGGGAAAATGGGCATATCTTAGGGGAGCAGCCTTTGTCTAAGATCGCCATTCACAAGGCTGTCTTGGCTCTCCGAGATTCAGCCTCCATTCAAGCCAAACCCGATCTTCTTGGCCTCAAGGTATGTAAACTCTACTCTTAGATTTTGAATTATATTGCTGCTCTGATCTGCTCAGTTTCCGACAACATATCTCACCTAATTTGTTAGGTAATTGAATTGCCTGCATATTCAAGTCCTCGTATAGTATCATCAGAATATTCAATTTTGGAATTATATTTGTTGATTTGGAGGTGTCCCCACCAAAATCAAAAGTTGCTGTTTTTGATTGGTGATCAAGGTTTTTACTTCTTTCATAAATGGTGAAGTGTTTATCTAAAAAAATGAATGGTCAAGGTTGGCTGGCCGGTTGGGTGTAGTTTCCTAAGTCTTCAGTTTGATTGATTAGGCCGGTTAACATCTAAAATGTTGCATCGTACTTAATGTTAGTAATTGACAGCCTAGTATAATGGGTCCTTTCAATACTCAAATGCAGGATAGTTGATATCGCAATATCTTCTATCATTTGATTTAAACAAATTGTTGTTTAAATTTGAAAAAATGCAATAAAACTTCTTGTTGTTTAAAAAGTTCGAGAATGTAGCCAGATTTGACACACACATATTGTAACTTGGAAGTTGGAAAGTGAAGAGAGCCTAGCAACTCCAACTAAGTTAGTTAGATTGTTGGTTTAGTTATCACAAGATTTTAAGTTTAATTTATTGTGGTAGTAAACATATGGCAATAGATTTTCACATCATGGAGGAAAAAAGTGAAGAATTTGAAATTACATATAGGGGTGTTTGGTAAATGGCTGTTAGCTGACTGGGTTAGTTAGTTTGACTAATTGATAACATTAGTTGATTGTAGAAAAATGTTGGGTAAATTAACTGTTAGTTGTTAGTTGATTACATACAAAATGACTTCCTCAAAAAGCTGATCGAAAAAGTTAATTTGAGCAGCTTTTAAATTTTAGTATTTTGAAATAATAAGTTGTTATAAAAAGCTAATTAATCAAACATTCATATTGATTGTTTAACCAAGTCAAATAGTTAATAGTACTTAAATAAACCAAAATTGACTGATAAATTAACTATTTTACCAATCAGGGCCATAACAAAACTCTTTGACATCAAATGTAGCCATTAAAGGATGGGGTGATTCCTAGTGGTTAGTGGTCCGTGTGGAGTGCCATGAATGACATGTTTTATAATTGTTGCTTGCAAGTTTTGGTTTTAGTCTTCATTTCCAGATTTTTAGTATTAAAATTTTAATTTGGTGATTTGATTATTTTGCAGGGAGAAGATACAGAATGGGTGGCTGTGAATCTTCAGAATTCACAACCCTCCAACGATGACTGGGTTGCAGTATTTTCTCCTGCCAAATTCAAGTAATGTCTCAACTCAAACGTTTTTTTTTTTTTTCCTTTATTTTTAAATTTAAAGAAAAAACACTTTTTTATGCATTTTGAAAAAAAGTAAAAGTGCTTAAAACAAAAAAGAAGAGAGAACCATAATCATAATTCAACTGTGGTGTAGCTGTCAACGATCTTTTAGTTGAATTAATAGCATTGACTTATAAAAGGCCCCATTTTTGTTCGGATCTCTAAATTATTACTTAGATTCACAAAAAAGGTTTGGAATGAAATAATATTTCCATTAATAGATCTATTATATTATTTAGTAAATCATTTTATTCTCGACATTGAGATATTTTACTTAGGTTATTACCAAGTTCTTATGAATAATATATTTTTTTTTAGTAATACCTAATTTATCATTACTTATTTTTTTATTTATTATAAATGTATAATAATAATAATAATAATAATAATAATTATTATTATTATTATTATTTGTATACATAAATTATACACACACACACACACACACACACACACACACACACACATATATATATATATATATATATATATATATATATATATATATATATATATATATATATATATATATATATATATATATATATATATATAGAATCGTACTCAGGTGCGAATGCTTCGCCCAGGCGCGAAATAGGAATGGATTCTGTCCGTCCACGTGTCCAGATCTAATGGATGAAAAACACTGATTTTTTAAAAAAGCGCGGTGGCATTTTCGTAAATAATTGAACATCGAAGTGCAAATAAAATGTATTACAAGTGCATGTAAAATATATTATAGGTGCAAGTAAAAATTTACACTGAGCATCAATACTAAGTGCACGTATAGTTATAAGTAGTTGCACATATAGTTCTAAGTAGTTGCACATATAGTTATAAGTAGTTGCACCTAAGTGCATGAATGTTTGCGGGTGGTATTCAGGCGTATTACTACCTGCTAAACTCAGATCAATGAATGTTAACAAGGCAAAATTACATGCACTTATAAGTGAAAGTAGGTGCACCTATAGTTATAAGTAGTTGCACCTATAGTTATAAATAGTTGCATCTATAGTTATAAGCACACCCAGGTGCATGAATGTTTGCGGGAAGTGAATGCTAACAAGATAAAATTACATGCACTTATAGGTGAAAGTAGGTGCACTTGTAAGTGATTTTACTTGCACTTCGATATTCAATTATTTACGAAAATGTCACTGCGTTTTTTTTAAGCTATTAGATCTGGACACGTGTCACGCGCTGATTCATTCGCATATTCCTTCCTGGAAACTTATTCGCACCTGAGTGCATATATATATATATATATATATATATATATATATATATATATATATATATATATATACACACACACACACACACACTCAAGTGAGAGTTGGATCAATTTCGTTTATTTATTTAGGATGAATAATGACTTAAAATTAAATAAAAATATTGTGGTATTTTTGAAATTATTTTGGTGCATTTGAAACTACTTGATAATGTATACATAAATAATTGACTGTTCATTCAGGATCTATAATAATGCACTCAAGTGTGTGCAAGTAGTTATTCGTGATACACTATCAACTGTTTCCAAATGCATTCACTAGTAAATATTTGACAAAAAAAATATATTATTGACATATTTTGTTTGAAAGAGAGATGCTAAAACACGTACGGGACGGTGACATTCTTGTAATTTTTAAATAATAAAATAATTTTTAGCACATATTGTATAAAGTAAACATATGTGAAAAGTGCATTTTTAAAAGAGATGCACCTTTTTCATTATTTTTTTGTTGTTGATCAATCCAAATTGATAGATGAGATTAATGCATACTTTTTAGAGAACTTGATTTCACATAATCCTACCTATAACTGTATGTCCATGTGTGGAGGGTATGATTTCACATGATCCTACAAAATCAATTTTGCAAATAAAAAATGCTATAAATGTACTTAAAAAAAAGTTATATTGTACTTTTATTTATTTACTAGTAATTCACCCGCGCGATGCACGGGAAAAAATTATGTTATTATAAATATAAAAAAAATAGAAAAACTAAAATATTTTAAATTATTTAATATAATAATATTTTTGAGCTTCCATTGGTCAAGTATTTATTATTTTTATAGGATACAAAATTACAATTAAAATTAAAATTAAAATTAAAAGTATAATTTTGTATGGTTAATATAATCTCCAATTATGTGCATATTCAAATAAACTTATAGAGAGAATTTACATAATTACATTGATTTATTCTTAATTGTATTTCATCTATACTATAATTTTCACAATACGAATAATAACTAAGATAATTACATTTGGAAAGCAAATTTCAAATTTTGTATGTGTAAATTTAAACTCTAATTGAATACATTTTTTATATGATTATATAATATATAGCTATTTTATTTTTCAAAAGTATATTTTTTATATGATTATATAATATATAGCTATTTTATTTTTTAAATGTTGTGTTTTTTTTTTTTTTATAATAAAGGATATTGTGGTATTAATTGTAACATTAATTATTTTCCAAACCATATAGCTTTATTATATAAAGGATTTACTTTTTACACTCGATTGATATGGTATATTTTAATTGATTTATGAAAGAAAAACACAAGACATATTTTATTCATTTTCCTAATAAGGTTAAATAAAAACATATAGGGACAACATTATTCTATCCAAATGCAGTAATCATTTTCCACTTAAAAATTTTGAACAATCAGTAGTGGCGTAGTGCACTATATGATGTCTCGCTCTCAAATGATTCACACAAACTGTTCACGTGAAACTTCATTGATTACTTGGTGCACTAGGTAAAAGGTGCCACTTCAAACGTTAGAAAAATAAAGGTAATTGAAATTAAATATTTTAAAAAAATACAATTATAATGAATTTTGATGTGTAATCTTTTTATTTAATTGGTAATATATGGAAATTCAAAGAGTAAATTTGTACACTAATAATAATAATAATAATAATAATAATAATAATAATAATAATAATAATAATAATAATAATAATAATAGAATGCCCATTATCATTATTTTTTTTATTATTAAAAAATTGAAAAGTATTTTGTGATAGAAGTCAAAAATAATAATAATAAGTTAAAAGGAATATTTGTTCCTAAAATTTGTACATAAAAGGAAAAGCTAAAAGTAAAATAATAAATATAAAAATATCTTATCATTATACAGGGAAGCAATCAAAATGTACAAGTTATCAATGCATGTGATTACCCCAACATATTTTATATTCCAATTAGAATTTAACAACATTGACTCTTATATAATTTATATTAATAGTTACCATACACGCATTGCGCAAATAGTCCAATGTTTAATGTGTATTTTTAAATGAGTGTTTTAGAATTTATCAAAGTTTTATCCGGTATCTTGGTGTATATCAATGCAAGATTATCAAATTTTTCATAAAAGTAAATATTTCAAGAATGCATAACTATAATCTGTGACATAATTTTTCATAAAATTAACTGGTGCAATAGCAGTTTTAGAGGGAAACACTTTCACTGGATAATACCCAAGCATTATTTTTTGCAACATATACAAAATCCTATTAATTGGTATGATCTATGCTTCCTCTGGTTGCCACTCCCACCAGAAATGAATTCTTGATTTAATTTAGTTCTCTGGTATGCTTCAGTGCAATTTTAGTGCCTTGGCACAGTGCACCTTCAAAAACAGAAACAAATTCTCCTTTCCAAAAAAAGGCAATAATAATATGCATAATTTCTCATCTGTGTTGAATATATACTATAAATTAGGTGTACTGTTTCATGAATGGACAATGCGTGATTCGAATTAATTGACCAAAGTTAATGTTAAATATTATATTATATTTTTTTAATACACGCAAACACATACTATACATATTCATAGTATATGTTTAACAATTATGTCAATTTTGATTGGGATGAGGTTTAAACCTAAGACCTTCCTTATAAAAATCAATGAATAAGAGTTAAAGAATAATAATAAATAGTTAACGGAATATTTCGTTACTAAAGTTTACATTGATGGAATGCATGAGTATTTAAGAAAAGTAATGATATAATAGAGAATAAAGTATGAAAAATAATAAAAAAAATACTAAAATCAAAATAATAAGAACCATTTATTTCAACACAAAAATTACACCAACAATTTTTAGTTCCCTTTAGGAACCTAACTTTATTGGCCCCTATTAGGTTTGTAGATTTAGTAGATATACTTGTTTAGATTTTTTTTTTAATACATGCTTATTCATTTTATTATTATTATTTTTTAAATTTGTAAATACAGTGAGTCTATTTGTTATCCGGAAGATGCTATGGAAGAAAAGGGTTACCGGACCCCATTCATTTGTACCGCTCCCATAAAGGTATGAAAATCCCTAATAAGAATGACAATGTATATTTGTTCAATAGATATTCAATTGTTATACAGTGGACCATGGTATAAAAACGTCGAAGTTGTTTAAGTAAAAAAGAAATGGTGGCCATTATGTTGAACTAATCTCGTATTTATGATATGCTCAAAATAAAATGAAACTAAAATGTGTTTAAAATGAAACTGAATAACGTGTCTTGCGTATTGAGTATATAATATTGTCAAATGAAACTGTAGTTGAATTAGAAATATATTTCAGTTGTGCTATAATGAAACTATAGTGTATCTAAAATGAAACTGAATAGCATGTCTCATATATTGAGTGTATATTGTCAAATGAAATTGTAGTTGAATTAAAATGATATTTTAGTTGTGATTTAATGAAACTACAGTATGTAAAAAATGAAACTGAATAACAAGTCTCATATATTTATTATATATTGTCAAATGAAACTTTAGTTGAATCAAAATGTACTCTAGTTGTGTTGTAATGGAACAATAGTGTTTATATAAAATGAAACTGAATAACAGGTTTCACATATTTGAGTGTATACTGTCCAATGAAATCGTAGTTGAATTAGAATTATACTTTAGTGATAGTGTAATAAAATTACAGTATGTATAAAATGAAATTCAATAACAGGTCTTACGTATTGAGTGTATATTGTCACATGAAATTCTAGTTGATTCAAAGCAATACTTTAGTTGTTCTGTAATTAAGTTATAGTATAGTACATATAAAATGAAATTGAATACGTCACAAAAATAGAATTTGTTGGATGGAATGGTGGAATGTTTCTTTTCATTAAAATAAATAACACTGTTTTGAACCGAGATCCACCGTAAAATTTGCCATAGATATTTACTACTTGAAATAAATTGTGACAAAAGTAAAAAGTTTCATTTGAGATATGATGAATTAGGTAGTGGATATAAGAAGTGATGTCAATTCAACTAGATCCCGATGAGGAAATCTGGTCTTCTCTCCGACGGATTTTTTTGGGGAACGAGAAAGGGGGAGGATGAGAGTTTCCCCATCCCCCGGGGATGGGGACTGGGATTGTACCCCGCCTCGGCCCCGATCCCGAACCCCGACCCCGAATCCCCAAAATATATTACCGGCATTCATGGTTGCAATAAGCGCTAGGTGCTAGTCGGGCGTTCGGGCAATGCCTAGCGCCTAGGCGGAATCTAAGCGGCGCTAGGCGGACGCCAAAAAAATAGTGACAGATTTGAAGTTTGACAATTTTAATGAGGCTGTTTTCAACATTCAATCAAATAACACATCCAAATAAATGAAATAATGATAATTCATAAGTCAGAATATCAAAACAATATTAAAAAATAAAAATACAAATACTCAAATATTTCAATCATCCAAAGACTCAAAGTATCAAAGTAGTTTACGGACGGCTGGACCAGACGACATCGGACGAAATCGACCGACGCGGCCGAGTTGGCCGATTTTGACCGATTTCGCCGCCTAGTGAAAGCGGAACATCCTAGGGGCGCCTAGGCCGATTTTTACAACAGTGCATGCATTATATTATTATATGTAATATAATAATATTTATATGTACTAATATTTAATTTGGACTTTTTTTTTTTTAAAAGTTATTATGTATGGATGTTTGATATTTTGGTTAAGGACTTAAGATTTGAACAATTTGAATTATTAAGTATGGTTTAATATTTTAAATAATTTGTACTAGTTGTATTTTGGGATGATGGGATGTTAGGCTAATTGGACATTTAAATATATAAATTTACAAATTAACTGTATAATTTAAATAGAATATTATTTTATAGTGTACTAAAGATTTGAAAGTGTATAATTTTTTTTTTAATTTGGGACAGCGAATCACCGTCCTTGAAAAATTCCCACGGGGACGGGGACGAGGACGAGAGGTAATTTCCCATCCCCACCGGGGAACGGAGTGGGTCGGGGAGGGGTGGGTGAATTCGGGAGCTGGGATGGGAATCCCATCCTCTGCACGCTCCCGTCCCATTGCCATCCCTAGATATAAGGTTCCCATAATAGATATTTATGGCTCGTAAGAATTTGCATCTATCCATGTTCGTTTTGACGCTACTTTAGACTATTTTGGATGACGAGGGAAACCCCACAACCCTTTTGGGTGTAGGTAAACCTTGCCTTGTGACCCTAGCCGACAAAGGATCACAAAGAAACTAGGTTACCCGTAGCTAATTGGCTCAAACCAATGGAGCAAGTCTCGTGACCTTGTAGTTACAAGTGTGGATTTCTTGTCATCTTGGTTGGGATTACCCCTAATTTAGACTATTTGAATAGCACATAGGATATTCTAATAAAACTTGCAACATCATGCCATATTTCACTTTTTACTTTTCCATTTATGTACAAACTTTAGTAACGGAATATTCTGTTAACTATTTATTACTCTTAAATTACTCATTACAAAATATTTTCTAATATTTTTTTTAAATACTCATGACTCTTTACAAAGTAATATTAGTTCTATACTTTCTTAATCTTTTTTAGCCCAAAGAATCATTACCTTCACTTCTGGGGTTCAATCCTGTTTTATGTTGTTATTATAACAATTAAATTAGTGTACATAAAATGAAACATGTGTCAATTTTTTTTTTCTTCTATTTTTTCAACTCTTTTTCTTCTTTGTCGTAAGGCTTAAAATATTAGGCAAAGAAGAAAATATTATTATATTAAGAATTATATTAATTATTTACTTATTTTAATTTTTGTGTAGGAGATTAATTTAATTGCGGAATGTGTACGTGCATTATAACTAGTGGTATATATGTATATGTAAGTAATATACATACAATTTAATTAAAGATAAAGTTGGTTAGTTGGTAGGCTAAATGCTTGTTGTTTTAAAGGTCAATGATTGATACCTTTGATTACAATTTTGATTTGTGAAATTTATTTATAATTCTTTTTTATAAATTATAATTATTTATTTATGTGGATGTAAATTATAAAAAATTTGTGAATCTTATTTTAGGTTATTTGACATTAATATGTTTTGATATAATTTAAAATTTAGCTAGGTATGCTATTAAAAATACATATTAATTTCATGTATGACTTTTTACTTTTTGTTTTTGCCAATGTGATTAGGCATGGATATTACATCAAAAGAAAAGAAAATGGAAAATCTAAATTTTCCCAAGTGTCTTTATGGCATGATGTCGATCGCATAAAATGTTAAAAACTTTTTTAGGGAAAATGACACTTTTTCCCCCTAAGTTATATACTTATAGCACTTTTCCTCCCTGAATTATTCAAGTGGCTATTTTTTCCCCTGAAATATTAAATGGATATATTTATCTTTAAATAAATATTTCATTTATTTTTCTTCTCCAACAAATTATGACCACAATTTGGTTCAAACCAAACAGACACTATAGCAACCAAACTAAAATATTCTAATTACAATTTAGAATCGAGACCCGATATTTAGAGTTTATTAAAATCGCGAACCGGGACGGCCGCTTCATGTTCTGAACTGAAAAAAAAAATAAAATACATTTATTGCTGAATTTATACTATTTTTAATTAAAAATAAAATTTTAAAATAAATAGGGTTCAAAATCGCGAACCGAATTCGGAACCGTGGTTCACGGTTCAGGATCCAGTTTATTGGAGAAGAAAAATAAATAAAATGTTTGTTTTAAGGGTAAAAATGTCAATTTAATATATCAGGGGGAAAATCTGTCACTTTTAAAATAATTGAGGGGGCTAATGTGCTTACATGAACAATTTAGGGAGAAAAAGTGTTATAAGTATATAACTTAGGGGGAAAAGTGCCATTTTCCCAACTTTTTAATTAAAACTAACTATACCTTTTTTTTCCTTTTATGCAGTACAAGTTTGCAAATTATTCCAATGATAATTACATTGAGACAGGAAAAACTACACTCAAATTTCAACTAATCAATCAACGGGCGGATTTCTCCTTCGCACTCTTTTCTGGTGGTTTAGAGAATGTATGTGCTATTAAAATAGAATTTCTGTCCATACTAATTTTAAAAATAAAATAAGTAAAATAAAGGTCAGTTTGAAAACCTGAAAAATAACTTCCTGAAGTCATTTTTTAGATTTTTCAGTGTTTAACTAAAATGAAGTCAATAGAAAATACTTATTCTGGTCAAAGGAAGAATCACCAATTTTGACAAAAAATGTCTTCCTAGATTTATACTCAGAAGATATTTTCCATATTCATCTGAGTTCTCTACTCTCTCTCTCTCTCTCCCCCCCTTTGAGTGATGTCAAATGGGCGGTTGACCAATCATCTGTCTAATTATTATTTGAACATGATTGGACTAGTTTGGTTAAAATATTGGTCAAGTCGGAGTGGGCCAAACAATAAAAATTTTGGCCTAGCGTGGCTTGGTCCATAGCCCAAAAGATTAAAAACATTTAATTTGTTTTCTTCAATTTTTTAGTATAGACTTATTACATTTATCAATCATTAATTAAAATATAAATTGGACTAAGTTACACCAAACAATTAAAATCTTGTCCTAACCCTCAATCCAAAAAAAATAAAAAAATAAGTTTTTTCTTCAATATTTTTAGTTCAAAATTATTACATTATTAATGTCTAAATAAATATGAGTTGGGTTGGGCCAAGCCAAATAATAAAAATATTGGCTCTGCCTACATTCCAAAAAAAAGACAATTTTTTTAAAAAAATTTAATTTCTTTAGTCTAGAATTATTATATTTAATAATATGTGTGTTTTGTTTTTATTATAATAAATTATATGTTAAAATTATTTATTTACATTTTTTTATTATAATCATTATTATTAATCTTTACAAATATTATAAATTTTAATTTATCATTTTATTTTCAATAAAAATAATAAAGTATGATCATTAAAATAATTAATATTATATAATAAATAACTGTGTAATAGATATGTGTACATGCTTTTAAAATGAACGAAACAGAAAAAACAAAATTTTATGACTTCATCCAAATAGAAAATGATTGTTTCATGTCTTTCAACTAAACACTAGAAAATAAGAATTATTTTTTAAAACATGTTTTCACTTAGAAATAATGAAGCACTAGTTTTCCTTTTAAAATTTTATTGTATCATATATTTGTACTTGGATAAACAACAAATTTTATGCTAAAATATGTACATTATTTGAGGTTGTTTCATCTTATCAGTCTTTGTACACACATTGATAAATGTTAATGAATATGAAATATTGACATAGTAGATTGTTTTTAGCAAGCTAATATATTATGGGTATTATATATTTACGGATGTGGAGTGCAGCCCAAATTGATATCAGTATCAAATTTCTTGTCATTTGTGAATCCCAAAGCTCCTCTTTGGCCACGCCTTGCTCTTGGAAAGTCCTGGGACCAAGTAAGTTCATTATATATGTACACCTTTTTATTTCTTCTAATTTTAATTTTAAGATAATGTTGATTGGATTGAGATAATAGCACAGTATGTGGAAATTAACATTGGAAAAGAATTTATTTAATTAATTAAATAAATTTGTTCAGATGACAGTAACATGGACAAGTGGTTATAACATAGATGAAGCTTATCCGTTGGTCCAATGGGGTTGGAAGGGGCAAGCTCAAAAACGTACACCTGCGGGAACTACAACGTACCACAGGACCAGCATGTGCGGTATGTATGTGTGTATGGTTCATTATTATAAATATAATGTGAAATTTTTTAACACAATTCAAGCTAGTTTTTTCAATTATATTTCATTCAAAATGTTTTTGGCATTTGTTATAATCTATATACAAACCAATAATATAAGATTGTAGTAAACTGGCCTGGGTTACAGGTCCACCTGCACGAACAGTTGGTTGGCGTGATCCTGGTTTCATCCACACTAGCTTTTTGAAGGAATTGTGGCCAAATGTTATGTCAGTTCCCTTCAAACCAATCCTACTTTTCACATATTAGATTATTACCACAAATTTCTTATTATCAAATTTTAAGCTTTGATGAACTCATTTATTTTATATTAGTTAAAATTTAAATATTCATTGATTTTCTGTGATATCAACGATATCCATCATATACAACTAAGAAAGATATGTTTGATTTGTACCAAGTAGTACTTTCCATGTGATTTCACTATATCTAATTCATTTATCATGTATTATTAACACTTAAATAAAGAAAATTATGTACTTGATTAGGTATAAGCTAGGAAATGTGACAAATATAATAAATATAAATGAATCATTTTTATTTTTATTTTTATTTTTTAAAATTTTCATATTTTCACAGCTACACTTACAAGGTTGGTCATTTACTATTGAATGGAACATACGTTTGGGGCAAGAAATATTCATTTCGAGCACCGCCATCTCCAGGACAAGAATCACTGCAACGCATTATAATATTTGGAGATATGGGAAAGGTGAATTTACCTTAAAATTATCAGATTGTTTACTCTATGCTTACTTTAATTATCACATATATTTTTTTACTCTATGCTCTTACTGTTGAGGTTAACAAAAACAATAAATAATAATAATGACATAAAGTAAAGAAGACAAGATTTACGTGTTTCGGCAATGTACCTACGTCTATGTCTATGACGGTGAAACTATTCTTTTATTAATTTTGATGGTGATACCACACCTAGAGATACAACCAATATATTTATAGGCAAGTAGCCTTGTACCATGTGCCCGATCTGCTCCACCCCTATTCCTTATATGAAACAAACTCATATCCTTATATGAGACAAATTCTTATTCCTTATATGAGACAAACTTAACAAATCTCCTTATTAGCGAATATGCCCTTTAGGAGGAAATCTCACATATGCCCATGAGTCGGGACAACCATGTCCATCTAACATCTAGAAACACCCAACAAGTCTAAACAATGTTTGAACTTGTCACTAGTAATTGCCTTTGTCAACACGTCTACTACATTCTCACTTGAATGACTTTTCTTAAACAAAATCTCACTAGAAACAATCAACTCTCTACCCTTATGAAACCTTACATCACTATGCTTGGTCCTGACATGATATGCTAGATTTTTAGCAAAAAAGATGACACTTTGACTGTCATAATGTAATTGAACTCCACCTTGCTCAATACCCAATTCCTTAATCAAACCCGAAAGCTACAAATCCTCTTTAGTTGCCTCAGCCACAACCATTTATTGTATTTTAGTTGTAGACAAAGCTACAATAGATTGAACTGACAATCTCTAACGAACAAGACCACCAAGAAGAGTAAAGACATACCCCATTGTAGAACGCCTATTACCCAAATCACCAACATAATTACAATCCACATATCCCATGAGTACATGCTCACTTTGTTGATTCCCAAATACAATACCATGTCCCATAGTGTTTCTTAAGGACCGGAGAATCCATTTAACTACCTCCTAATGCTGCTTCCCAGGTTTAGACATGTACTTACTAACTTGGCCCAAATCAAGTTGAGTACAAACCATTGAATACATTAAGCAGTCAATTACACTAGCATAAGAAACCATTGCCATATTTTGAATCTCACTAACTATTTGAGGACACTGACCAGATGAGACTTTAAAATGATTAATCAAAAAGGTGTTAACCGGTTTAGGCTTACTCATCCCAAACCTGTCAAGGACTTTCTCAATATAACTCTGTTTAGTTAGCCATAACTTCCTTGCACCTCTATTCTTGTGAATTTCCATGCCAAGAATTTTCTGTGTAACTCCTAAATCTTTCATATCAAATTCCTGACTCAACAAAGCTTTCAATGCAGTAATATCATTCATACTTTTAGCAACAATCAACATATATCATCCACATACAATAATAGAAAAATAAAAGAACAATTATCAGGGCTCTTAAAATAGATACAAAAATCATACTCACACCGTGTGTAGCCAATTTGAGTTATGTAAGAATCGAACAGCTTATACCATTGCTGTGGAGTCTGTTTTAGCCCATACAATGATCTCTTAAGCCTACAAACCAGATGCTTACCTCCGAGTTTAAACAAACCCTTAAGGTTGCTTCATTAAGATTTGTTCATCTAGATCACCATGCAGAAAAACAGTCTTCACATCCATTTGCTCCAAATGCAAATCCCAAATAGCTACCAAAGCAAGTACTAACCTGATAGATGTATGTCTAACAACAAGAGAGAAAACCTCATCATAATTTATCCACACTTTGTTGAGAAAATCTCTTCGCAACTAACCGAGCCTTGAATCTTTGCCCTTCTTTTATGGTATTGTTGGCTTCTTCCTATATACCCACTTGCACCCTATAGCCTTCTTGCATTGAAGAAGCTGAACTAACTCCCATGTATGATTCTGATGTAAAGATTCCATCTCCTTAATCATACCTACCATCCATTTATCTTTTTCTTGGTTAGAAACAACCTCTTAAAAGGTAACTGGATCATTATTAGTAAAAAGAAGTGCAAAAAAGACCATATCCTCAAACCCATACGTGTTAGGTGGTTTGAAATTGGTGTTTTTTGGCCTATCTTTGGCCAAACAATAATCATGTGAATTCTCTAAACTCGAACCTGTTGCAGATGTGACATCTGCAACTTCTTGAGTCTCGACTGCATGTGGATTATCTACTTTCTCATTCAATGGAACCGGATCTATATCCACTTTTACTATGCTAGAACCATCAAGCGGTGCATCTCATTTCTTCGGCTGAAGCATATAATGCTCATCAAACAATGCATCTCTACTAATCACCACCTTTTTTGTTGTAAGATCTCAAAACCTGCATCCTTTTACGCCTTTCTTGAAGCTTAGAAAGATGCACTTCTTTGACTTTGGATCTAATTTCGATCTCTCATCGCCTAGAATAAGAACATAGCCAGGACAATAAAAAACTCGTAAGTGATCAAAACTCACAAGAATACCTAACCAAACCTCCTCAAGAACCTTGACACCAAGTAGTGTCCATGGTGATCTATTGATCAAATAACATGCCATGTTCATTGCTTTTGCCCAAAAAACACTTAGAGAGCCCAACATTCAATCTAAGACACCTTGTTCTCTGAGTAATGTTCATATTAAGCCACTCAACAACACTATTCTGTTGTGGTGTCTTACGCATTGTATAACGCCTATGAATTCCATATTCTGCACAGAATTATTGGAATTCTTTCTCAGTATATTGTCCCATTGTCAGACCTCAAGTACTTGATTTTTCTGCTAGTTTGGTTCTCAACCTCAACTTTCCACAGCTTGAATTTCTCAAAAACTTCATATTTATGTTTTAAGAAATACACCTAAATTTTACTAGAAAAATCGTTAGTAAACGTAACATACTATCGAGAGTCATCCATTGAATGTTCCCTGTTAGGTCCCCAAACATAAGAATGCATATATTCTTGAATCCCTCCAATTTTATGCTTCCTAGTTAAAAAACTGACTCTAGACTATTTCCCAAAGACACAGACAGAACTCACTGAAATCTAGCTTACAACATTTAACTCCTTTTAACATATTCCTTTTGTGCAATTCAGATAAATCACGTTCACCAAGGTGACCCAAACCTAAATTCCACAACCTACAGTAGCATCATCACTAGAGTCAACAGAATGTGCTCGACCTATAACAGTACTGCCCAACAACCTATAAATGTTCTCCGTAGTCTTTTTCCCTTTCATCAAAGTTAGATCCCCCTTATTAATTTTAATGGTTTTCCTATCACTTTCAAATTTATTAATAAAATCATTAGCATGCAAACTTCCAAGAGAAATCAAATTATTAGTTAATCTTGGAATATGTTTGACATCATGCAAAGTTTTTACAATACCATCATACATTTGGATGTTAACATCATCAATACCCACAATATTATGACATTTATCATCACCCAAAAACACGTTGTGAACCACTCCATGTTAGGCGTAATATAATATGAGCATCCCGAGTCTAGGATCTAAGCATCTGACAACTATCTTGATGAAACTGTTAGAATATCACCTTTATTATAATCTAAGTCATCAGCATGTGCTACGTTTGTAGTCTCTTACTGCTTCTTCAACTTTGGACAGTCTCTTCTCATGTGCCCAAACTCCTTACACTTGTAGCACCTAATTTTCTTGTTGTTTTTGGACTTAGACCTATAGTCTCTATTCCCATAATTATCTTTCTCTTGCTTCCTTCTACTCTCCTTAGCATCCAAATTGTCACCAACATAGCCTTCTCCTGCATTCTGCATGCGTTGATTATGAACTAGGAAGAGTGCAGAAATCTCATTGAATTTAATCGTGGCTTTCCTGTATATAAGAGTAGCCACCAGATGTTCAAAGAAAGAGCTAATGAACATAGCAAAATCATCGGATTATCTTCATCTCAATCTTGACATCAAGCCTAGTTAGATATGAGATTATTTGGCTAAAGGCAATAATATGATGCACCAAGTCTGGACCCTCTTGCATCTTAAGCCCATAAAGTCTTTGCTTTAGATACAATTTGTTTGCCAGAGATTTTTCCATGAACTAAGTATCAAATTTATTCCAAATTTCTTTTGGAGTTTACAAGGCCATAATGGTGATAAGCAATTTCATCTTCAAGGCATAACCGAACCGTGCTTAACGCGCGTTCTTTCAAATCCCCTAATTAGTTTAGGCTAGATTAGTTGGCTTTTATGCATTCAAGGTTTACAGAAGACCTGTTGTGCCAACAAATCCTTAACCCTAGATTGTCATAACCTAGAATTCCTTATACCATCAATCTTTGATACCTCGAATTTTGCACTTGAGCTGGCCGTCTTAATAGTGCTCTAATACTAATTTGTTGAGATTAATAAGAACATGAAACAATAATAATGGCATAAAGTAAAAGTGGACCTAATTGCTCTACTTTTATTCTTTATATGAGACAAGCTCACATTCCAAACTCATATTCCTTATATTCTTTATATGATACAAACTAACGCTTATCTTAATTTTATTTTTTACTCCATGAGTCCATGCTTACCTTAATTTCTTCAATTGAATTGTATGTACATACTTTTATGTGAGCAGCAAGAGCGTGATGGTTCAAATGAATACGCGGATTATCAGCCAGGGTCGCTCTTGACAACTGATCAACTCGTGGATGACCTTGATAATTTCGACATTGTCTTCCTCATTGGAGATTTACCTTATGCGAATGGCTATGTCTCCCAATGGGACCAGTTCACTGCACAGGTTGCACCCATAACCGCCACTGTGCCATTCATGATCGCAAGGTTTAGTTTTTTTTTTTTGTTCATAATTTATTTTGAAACTCTAAAGCAAGCATCAACTTTATGTAAGACTATTAATTAATTAATTATATTACAGTGGCAACCATGAACGGACCTTTACCAATTCAGGAGGAATCTACAACGGCCAAGACTCTGGCGGAGAGTGTGGAGTGCCGGCTGAAACCACGTACTATGTTCCTGCGGAGAATAGAGCCAAATTTTGGTATCAAACGGAGTATGGGCTGTTCCACTTCTGCATAGCGGACACGGAACACGACTGGAGAATTGGGTCAGAGCAGTACAAATTCATTGAGAAGTGCCTGGCCTCGGCCAACCGCCACAAGACTCCATGGCTCATCTTCGCTGCCCACCGCGTGCTTGGCTACTCCTCTAACGACTGGTACGCCAAAGAAGGGTCGTTCGAGGAGCCCATGGGGAGGGAGCATTTGCAGGGGTTGTGGCAAAAGTACAAAGTTGACATGGCTTTCTACGGCCACGTCCACAACTATGAGCGCACCTGCCCCATCTACCAGAACCAGTGCGTCAACGACGAAACCTCCAACTACTCCGGCACCGTCAACGGGACCATCCACGTCGTGGTCGGGGGCGGAGGGAGCCATCTCTCACAATTCACCTCCATCAACACCACTTGGAGCCTGTACAAGGATTATGATTGGGGATTCGTCAAGCTCACCGCGTTTAATCAATCGTCTCTGCTCTTCGAATACAAGAAGAGTAGAGATGGCAAAGTGTATGATTCTTTCACCATCTCAAGGGATTATAGAGATGTATTGGCCTGCGTCCATGATGGGTGTGAGCCAACCACTCTCGCAAACTAGATCGATACAAGATATGAACAAAATTGGCTGGTGATCAGGTGCAAACATTGTTGCCTCTTGCTTAGGGTTAAAATAATGTTTAAGGTGAAAATAACAAATTGGGTTTTGACAAAATAGGCTTGTTACGAGAATCAAGCTCCCAGTGCTCTAAATTAGATCGGGTCATGTGTACTTCATTTGACAATTTATAAATACCATTGTTATATCATGAACTAGGTGCATTTTGCATTGTGAATGTTGGTCCAAAACGCATTCAAATTATGTACCTGCAAATCCTGCAATTAATATATTATATACTTTTAGTTAATAAATTATGTACATATTACAATTAACATGTTATATACTTGCAATTAACATATTATGTATTTGTAAAGTTGTAATTAATAAATTATGCATCTATTAAAATTAACGTATTATGTATTTATTTTTAACATATTATGTGCGTTCAGTTTATAACTTATGTACTTATTAGAATTAACATATTATGCACAATTAATTTATTTGTAAGTGCATAATCTATTAGCAAAAGGTACATAATATGTTAATTGTAGGTCATAATTTGAATGTCGTTTTTGGACCAGGATCTACAATGAAAGGTGGATCCTGGTCAATGGTATAATTTGCCTTACAAATACATTATGATTCAAAGATTTTGTCATCGTTACGTTAACATTGTTAATATGTTAGCTACTACGTGAGCTATAAGGGCATCTCCAATGGGAGGAGAAAGAGGAAGAAAGGAATGGATCAGGGAAGGGATGGAGGAGAGGTGAGATACATGCTCCGGATATACTATTCTCTCCGAAGCATGTTGCGCGAGGCGCGTGTATACGTGAAGGCCACGCACCTAGAACACGTGTAGAGGGTGGGGACAGAAAAAAAAAAAAAAAAACACTAAAGAAACAAGCCATTAATTTTTTTTTAAAAAAAATCTTTGTTATTCTATTTTTAATTTTATTTTTAAAATTTGTAATTATATTAATTGTTGGTATATTTAGTATTTAAAATTTTGAATTCGAATGCAAATTTTTTTTGTAAACAATTTTGGATGCAAATTTTAATGTGGTGTTGCAAGGAGAATGTTACCCAGGCAAAAGGTGTCCTAGATACATATCCCAAGAAAGAGTTTCAAAAAAGGCCAAGACATTTTGTGCAGTTCATAAACCTAAAAGCAAATGCAAAACTATAGTTCAACGGCTAGCAATCTAACAAAGGCAACCTATCGTTCTACCCACTAGTCATTGCACAGTGGTTAATACACGTTTGAAATTTGTTTTCTTCAATGGACAAGTTTTAAAACCTGTCTACAAATACCAACATTCAAATCTAAATGAGGGTTGACAATTTTTTAGAACAAGTTATACAAAGTGCAAACGCATACAAGTGAAAAGCTAGAAGCCAGTGAAGAAAGAGCTAAAAGCTACAAAGATATATCATGTTCAAGAGACTATGACAACAACGAAGAGTCATACTGTAACACCCCCCGATTTTCGACATATTTTAAAACCATTAAAGCTTACGAAATAAGAACAAGTCTATCATTAATACCCAAATAAGCGGAAGCCAAACATAATGGTGTAGGGGTGCTATGCCACATCTAAGCTTGAGAACCTAGATGCACAGGCTACTAACTAACAATCGTTATACCCTGCACCACGGCGCGCACAACACTGTGCGCCCCACGCCTCCCAAAACGATGTCATTTTGGGAGGTACGGAAGGGAGTTGACGTGATTATGTGTATTTGTTTATATCATTATGTGTATTTGTTTATACAATTATGTGTATTTTTTTTATACAGTTATGTGTGTTTGTTTATACAATTATGTGTATTTGTTTATACAATTATGTGTATTTCTTTATACAATTATGTAAAACGACGTCGTTTTGCATCAAGGCGCACAATGCAATGCGCGCCCTGGTGCACGATATAAATTGCCACTAACTAACTAATCATAATCCATAAACAATATCCGAATACAAAAGCGGCTCACATGCCATCAACTAAAGCTAACTACTATCTAAACTAGGAACCGCAACTCTGACTAGCGCGCTCACGCGCCAACTAATCTGCACCTTAAAAACATGCAGTGTAGCAACTGTTAGAGAATAATGCTAAGTAACCCACTCTCACGCGTTGAGTACAGTATAGGTAGATATAAGAAAACCATTTTGAGACTCGGAAATACATATATAGTCCTAAACAACTCTAACTTTAAAACTAAGATCAATACTCGAGACATACCAACAGACTCGACACTATAAAACACATAAAGATACTATCATGTAACCTAAGACCACAAGACAAGACAACAACAAGACTCAAACTCCATCCGCCAATCTGTTCCGCCAATCCAAGGCACAATAACACTCCAAAGGTACTGCAGCACTACACTCCAAAAGTACTGCAGCCTATAATATATCAAAGGTACTGTAGCACCACACTCCAAAAGTACTACAACCCACCGCATGACAAAGGTACTGCAGTACCACACTCCAAAAGTACTGCAGCCCACCGCATGAAGACCATAAAGGCTAATTTGGACTGTGCCGCGTCCACGATCTTGGAACGCGTGTGGATCTGGAACAGAAAGTACCACGAAAATGGGCCACTCGTGGATTGAGATCTGGGCGGAAAATCAGCATTTTAAATAGAGGCTTGTGGTGGGATTGACTATCATCTTTTTATTCCATCTTTCCACTTTGTATTTTCCAAGAGGACTTAGCTTAGATTAGTATTTCTCTCTCTAGATTAGGTTAGATTCAACTAGCTACATCTTTGATCTTCAATTCTTGAAGGAAGAAGAGATCTAGAAGCATGAAGAATTGACAACTCTCTTAGATTGTGGTGATCTTCTCTCCAATTTGTAGATTGATTTCACTCTATTGATTCAAGTTGGTAATCTTTCATCTTTTACTTTCAATTTCCATATTCTACATTGCAAACTTGCTTCAATTGATGATGATATGTGGCTAGATCTCTTAGGAGTTGGATTGGATTGCCTTGATTATGCATTCTTGATTTGTATTGATGAATTGATGAGATGTTGTGTAATTCTTGACCTAGAATACTTTTTTTTGTGAATGAGTTGTGTACGTGTGGCTTCTCTCTTCATTGATGGTCACAATAAGGGAGGATTATGAGAGTGGAAGTAGCAAGAAATTGTGCTTCCATGTAGTCTTACTCATTTGTTTTCCCCGTCCTTCGATCTGAGAGGGCAAGGCCCGGGAGGAGAGGTAGACCACGTGTTCGACGAAATGCCTTAGTCGACATAGGACCTAAGAGTCTAAGTCCTACGTGACTTAGTGATTGTGTTTTTTTCTCCCTAAAGTTAGTCATGCATTGCACTACCTCTTGTCTACCTTAGGCCATTAAATGCATTAGATCGAGTGCTTTCCATCCAATTCCCCGTTTTACATATTTGCTTGTTGTCTTTACATTCTTGCTCTCTACCTTTGCATCCATGCTTTCTTACACCTTGCATTCACCTAGTAAACTCTTGTGAATACATTAGCTATGATTGTCTTGCACTCCTCTTACTCCAATTTGTCATCCTTGTGAGATCGACACTCGGAGATTCCATCTCAGTTTACACTTTCCCATCCTACTAAACTACATCCATCAGGACCTTGGGGAAGACCACCTTCTCTAGCCACTCACTCATGGGGTACTTCCCCTTGCGAATGGCCTCTGGGTCGACCAGTATCTGCTTGGTAGCCGGGGGGCTTCTACGTGAGTTTCTCCGGGATGTTTTATCCCCGACCGACGTGGCGACGGAGCGGCCGCAATTGGGGTAGCCGACCCTTTCCACCTAGTATCTGCGACAGACCAGGCTAAGGCAGTTGATGACCCACCGATGGCTAGTGGGGCCGATCTGCGCACAATTGGCGGTTGGAGGGAGTCGGACGAAGTGTCCACGCCCTTGCCTTTATCGGCAGCAGTCAGGTGGGCGCGACCGGAAGCGCGGAGGAGTGCACAGCGGTCTGCCATCGATCCCATCGGGGGACTCATCGGCATGTTGTTTGTCGTTAGAGCTAAGTTCAACTTCCCGCTTGGGAACGGTGTGGTCGGCAACCAACGTTCCTTCGTTGTCCTAATCGTCTTCGCCCGACTTCTCCGATGACGATTCAGTGTCATTGTACCCTATAATGACAAAGAAGGTCAGTACATTGTCAGATCAGAACAAGCAAGAAGTTAGGCAATGTCCGAGAGCAAACTTGTGTTGGCTACGCCGTCGGGAAGAATGTTAGCCCTTTACATGGCCCGCAATCGCGACCAGTGCCTGGCAGAGATAAGCTCACCCTTGGTGATCCACTTGATAAGACCAGCTAGGCTGTCTGGGCAGGGTGGCCTCTTCTTAAGGAGGTAGTATGATGACTACCAGGTAGTCGGGAAATTAAAGACAATGTGAATAGGAACAGTTGGCCGGACAAACAGGAACTTCTCTTTCCAGCCCTTGTGGGAGGATTCCAGCTTGTCCAAGAACTTACGACCGTCCTGGGCACGAATTTGCACATAGCCCGGGGCGGCGGAGCCAACGACAGTCAGCCGGAACAGTTGATGGAAGAGGGGCAAAGAAGCTTGCACCTCAAGGCGGTGACAGTAAGTAAAAAAGGAGACTAGAAGACAGTAGGAGTTGTGCACTAGATGACCGGGCATAAGGCCATAGTACTGAAGGAGAAGGGAAAGAAAAGGAAAGACAGGCACTCGGAATCCACAACGAATGGACTGATAGTGGATCCGCACAAAACCGCCACCGGGCGTGTCGGTGACCAATCGATCACCAGGATGACGAGTAATCACCGCCGTGCCCAGTAGACGACAGGCGTGGTTATAGTCAACGGTAGTAAGGGTGGAACGACGGTCGACCAACCACTCTAGGTCTTTGAAGAAACCCGGATCCCTATCGATTGGAGGATTGACCGGGGCAATGGAGGTGGTTTCCGGGGCAGTCGACAAACGGGATGTAGTGGCCGGAGGGTTGGAAGTTACACCTTGGCGAACGATGGAGGAATAAGCGATAGGTGTTTGAGAAGACGACATAGTAACAAGAAAAAAAGCAAGAAGTAGAAAGGCTAACCTTGAAAGAAGTAAAGAAAGGGCGGACGTAGGTGAACAGAATTGTCTCCGACGGAAGTTGGGGGGCCAAAGAAAGTTCCTGCGACGCTGGAAAGAGTGAAGGAGGGGATGAGATTCACCGGGGATTAAAGAGGAGAAGGAAGAAGAGTGAAAGGG